GTTTAAGAGTTTAAGAGTTTTTAAGAGTTTTAGACAAATGCTTTATAGTATAGTATAGATATTACAATAAGAGCATTAATAGATTTGGTTCCTAGGAAATTAGAATGTACTGATTATGTCTCTAAATTTTGATAATTTACACATTTGATATCTAAACTTACAAAATTTACACATTTGGTCCCTATAATTAAAGTATTTACAAACTTTGGCTCTATATTTTGATAATTAATATTATACAGGATGGTTTTTATATGGGTTCATTTACATTGAAGTCAAAGATCACTGTCATTCACGATATAAGAAGAAGTTAAATAGACAAAGGTTGAAGATTTTTAACTCCACCTGTTTTGGACCATGGTTGGATCTTAATGATAATTCGGCAGACCCGATGCTTGTTCATACATTTTTACATATAGAGATCTTCCTGACTTATGGACAGGATGATGAGATGTATTTTCAGGTAGGTGAGTATATACTTCATTATGGTCGAGAGGAGTTTTGTCTTGTGACAGGACTTCGTTATGGATCGATGCTGACCCTCCGTAGAGTAAGGGAGGGTTTCATTCATAAAATTTTTGGTGACAGAAAGTTGATGGTGCGTGATGTCATTCATGTTTTGGGTACCATTGGGAATAGTGAAGGTGAGGAGGACGATCTTGAGGATGTTGATGATGTACGTGTTTGTTTGATGATGATGGTTGAGATCTTTTTTCTGGGCCCTCAAGGCCATTTGCCTGTTACTGATACCCTAATTAAGGCAATAGAGAATTTTCAGGGTTGGAACCATTTTCCTTGGGGATCTTTTATCTAGGAACCTACAATTAGGCAAATGCATGGTGCCATCCAAAGACAGGCTGATAAGAAGGTAAATTGACGATGATCGGGTTCTTATTTGCCATTAAGGTTTATTAAATTACTATCATTTAAATATTTATATATTTTACATGGATTTCCTATTTTAATAGTTTACTTAATTGTTTGACATTATAATCCACAAATATGGATTTTAAAGAAATTTCTCGTCTGTACTGCCTACTTTGTAAAAGACGACCATAGACTCCCTAGGACAGTTCGGAGGAATAGGTCCCTTGTCCTATTTGGAGGCACGTACTTCCATCCTTCTTACGATCCTCAACTTCGTCCTTGATGGATAAGGTAATATGGCAACAAGGAAGTGTTAGATAAAAAAAAGGCAATAACAAAGATGAACTGGCCACTAAAATAACTCAGCTTGAACATTTAATATTTCAAAAAAAAAAAAAAAACTATACAAATATCGATGGGCAAGGTAATTAGTAAAACACTTGAAATTGATTTAGTTTCAAATTTATTCGCATATAAGTTACAATTAAGATTTATATTTAAATCTATATTATGATTCAGATGTGAATCTATGTTAGGATTCACATGTCCACATACGAATCTTAAACTGATTCAGAATCTCGGTTATAAGTTTTAAACCGATGCACCTACAAGTTATGATTGAGATTCACGTGTGAATCTATGTTAAAATTCACATATGTACCAATATACACCTAATTATCACTATTTTATATGGTTCGTTAGAATATTTTACGTTTGGTTATATTTCAGACGACCAATGATGAATATTGATATTCGTGTTCACATACAATTTTTAAGTAAATAAGATTTAATTCGATTTGTAGATTGTAAAATCAGCAATGATTTCATGGTGGAAATTTGATAAGAAATCAGTAGTTGTCAATATCCAAAAAATGTTATTGAAAAAATAGGAGATAAATCAATATATATATATATATATATATATATATATATATGATCTTTTATCTTAGTTATCTTAGTTAGAGAAAAAGACTTAAAAATAAAAATTATAAACTAGTTGTTGAGATTGTTTCTTCCATTCTTAAAATTGTTGGGTTTTTTATTTGAACCACATACTATATATAGATGCAAAGAAAAAACAGATATATACATATGTATACATTTAAGTAGACCACCACCCATTGTAAGTCCATCATTGTAGGGGGTGTGCATGCAATGGTTTTCAGGGAAGAGAAAGTGGGTTCGTGGTGGGATGGAGACACGGGAGGAGGCGGTCATGATGGGGGGTCGACATTGTCAAGGAGGTATAAGTCGAAGTAGCAGGGGGATAGGGTCATTAGAGCATGAAGTTTGGGGGTCATCGAAGCAGTTGTTAATGCATATTGGATGATGGATGTTGGAGGACGGTGCAAGAAGGAGATCGTCGTGGTGGTTGTGGGTGAGGACTGTAGCGGAGATGTGATAGTGATGAAGATGAGCGACGTTCACTTGTGTGTACGTGGTAGAGAGAAAAATAAAGGGAAATGTTTAAAAAAAACTAATGGACTTTAGTGTTTGGAATGATTAAGTTATTGGACAATTTTTTGGAACAAATAAGTCATTGGATATTTAAAAATCTGTTAAATAACTTCTTGGACTTTTTAAAACTTGTTAGATACATTTTTACAACCTATAAAACTGGTTAACATGGTAAAATAATGGAAAAAGTCTGCGGGTGATTTCAGAAAATCATTGACATAATATTTTTTTTAACTAAAATAAATTTCATCAATAATCTTATTTAATGTAAGTACTTTTTTGTAAATGTAATTACTTTTTTTGTAAATGTAAGTATTTTTTTGGTATATTTGTTTCATTTTATAAATGTATGTACTTTTTTGGTTTAAAATTTTTCTAAGGGCTTAATTTTTCAAAATATGAAAGCATGTTGGTTTTTTTTTTCAGATTTTTTTTTCATTATTTTATCATATTTACCAGTTTTGTAGGTAATAAGAATGTATCTAACAAGTTTTAGAAAGTCTATAGAGTTATTTAACAGGTTTCTGAATGTCTAAACGGACTTATTTATTCCAAAAAATTATCCAAGTACTCAATCATTCCAAACACTAAAGTATATTGAGTTTTTTAAGATTTTCCCCAAAAATAAATATGGATGGAAGCTAACATTCGTTAGTCAGAGGGATTAAAACCGGAGAAAATTGCAAAACTGCTATGACAAATTTCTAATAAGAAAACAATATGAACAAAAACCAAGAAAATCATAAAAGTAAAAGGACCAAAAATGAAGTTTGATTTAAACCAATCATGGATTTGGTTCATGTGGTTTTAAATTTGTCTACAATTTAATTCCGACATTTTTCTTTTACCAAAAAAACATCATATACTATTTTTGACTATTTTTGGTTTTTGCCACTAACTCCGTTAGATGAAGTATTGTTAACCTTCATCTCAAAAAAAAAAAAAAAAAAAAAAAAAAAAAAACCACGAGGGAAAATGGTCTTATTAGACCATTCTCATGTCCAACCAGTGCCAAGGACACCAAGAACAACAAAAATACATAGCTAAACCTACAAAAAGAATTATGCATATTCAAATGAAAATAAGATGAATACCTAAAATCAAAAACCTTTAATTTAAGTTTCTAGTGTGAGCATTCTTAAGCTCCTGCTTGAAAAGAGTGTTTGGAATTGCTTATAAAAGCTGTTTTTTAATTTATTTCGGTCTGACATCGGTGATAAGTTATTTTCTGGTGTTTGGATAAGAAAAAAAAATTGGTTATACCGGTGCCAAACCGGTAATAAGCTGTTTTTGATAAGTTAATCCTTCCTGACTTATCAAAAAACAGCTTATTACCAGTTTACAATTTTAACCTTGTTTTATTTAACTCCGGTTTGATACCACATAAGTTAATAAGCACTTTTATAATAAAAAAAAACATAAGTTGTTTTAAATAAGCAATCCCAAACACCCCAAAATTGAGAAGGCCCGGAGTACAAGGGACTGGTTTGGCGAGGTGCCAAAACTCAACCTTTTACTATGTTCCCATTCTCAATAAAACCCACAAGATTCCCCAACTTGTATCTTCTAGCACCTAATGCCGCAACTAGATCACGTTCTTGTAAACGTTAGTCATACGGCCATTGAAACTTCAGTTCCTCTATTTTCTGTCCTCTTTGTATTCATTTTTCTATCCTATTTTCTCCTATGAACGAACCACTAAAACCCATTTGCCAAATTCTAAGAATTCTTGTGATGCCATCTTCTTTGGATCTCTTAATTCATTGCAAAACTGAACCAATGCGGGGAGTGGTGGTGATTGAGAGAAGGAGAAATATGTTTTATGGTTAAAGAGTATGGTGTGGCTAAAAAGATGATTTTACCCTCTTGATTGGGGGTGTTAACGGAATCTCATCTAAAGGAGTTTGTAACGAGGACAAAATCCACTCAAAATTATACTATGACGTTTACTCTGTAATAAAAAATTATAAGGACTAAATCAAAGAAAAGTTTAAAACAATAGGGACCAAGTTCATAATTTACTCATCAATAACAAAAGATTATTAATGAACTAATAATTGAAGTACTTTGTCTCTTTAAGTTATATTATGTTAAATGTGGATAAGTAATTGTGTATGAATAAACAAAATAGAAATACAAGAAAACATTAGTTTGAAATAAAAAAATACAATAGAAGAGGAGCGATCAAATGCAAACCATCCAATTTATACAAACCGTGCAAACCACCCTCATTCGTTGATTTAATTGTTTAATCTTATGGAATTTTTTCATGAAATTGTTTAATCTTATGAGATTGTTTCATATAATATTTTTTTTTTGATAAAGTTGTTTTATATATGGTTATGAAATTGTTTCGTATAATACTTACTGAAATTTTAATGAAACTGTTTCATGTATTTCTCTAAAATTAAAATAATGAAGATGATAATATCCATGATTAACACCCTCCACAATAAAAATGATTAATCAACGTCTAATAATACAAAAAAAATGAACAAAATAAAAAATTATAATTGGTTAATTGAGTTTTATATGTTTATACAAATAACATGGTTTATTATAAAGTATACATATATTTGTATTAATTTCAAGATTGCAAATATAATGATAACTTCTCAAATCAATAAATTAATGCATCATTTGGCATAAGATACAGTACATGGAATGATGGAAGCATCTCCACTGGCAAAAAGCTTCATATTTATTATTAAAACGTGTATATTCACAATTATTATTAAAACGTGTATGCTCACAATTATTACTTTATCTACAATTTCGAAAATTTTATTACAAATGCTTAAACATTTTATATGAATTTAGTTTTTTGGTCAAAAATTAAATTCATTATTTATGTTAGAAAGACTAATATTATTAGTATTAAATAGCCACAAGTTAAATAAATTAAAATAATAAAATTAAAAGATTAATAATAATAATAATATTATTATTATTATATAATAAAATAAGAAAAAAACATTTATTTTCATACAAAGGAACCCATGAGTATCTTATATAGCGTATATTATTTACGGGACGATATTATGTCATTAACAGAATCAAACGTAGATGTCAACAAAAGGTTGGAGTAATGAAATGGAGCTTTGGAAGTACACATGGTGCAATAATTTTATTGGGGGAACACATGATTAAGTAGGGTGCAAGTCAAAATTAGGGGGAAAAGGTGACACAATATGATAATTTTAAGTATTTTGCTAGGCTACAAGATTTAGACAAAGGAGAGGTTGAGGATGATACAATTCACCACATAAAGGCAAAATACTAAAAGCGGAGAATAACCATGCGACTGTTGTGTGACAAGAAGATTCAAGAAAATTTAACGGAAAATTCTACACCAACGTACCACGTTTTAAGAGTCAGATTGTTGGAGAACAAGGAAGGCTCGTGAAAGAAAGTTGCAAGCTACAGAAAAAGATGATGTTTAGATGGACTTGTGGCCATACCATGGAAGACAAGATACCTAACAAGGTCTTCTGGGTAGAGGTGTGAGTTGCGTCAACTACAAAAAAATGGATAGGAGGAAAGATTGAGGGGGGGTTTTGACATGTTCGCTGAAACAAAAAGTGTCACCCTTGAGGAGAGTAGATGGTGTGACAGTTCAGGAAGCAAGGAATGGTAGGCCGAGGAGGATGTTGAATGAGCAGTTGATGACGATGAACATATTAACCTTGGACATTTTTTAGAATATGACATTTGATAGGAGTTTTTTGAGATACATGACTAGGGTAGCGAGTATTACTGTATAAACCTATAGCTAGCTCGGATTAGATCATCTACTTTCTTGACAGCCCTCGATCTATGTAAAATTATCGGTAAAAATGAAAGATACGATATAAGGGTAATAAGAACCAAGGATAACAAAAAGAATAAGGGACTTAGAGAGGTTGAGGGTGGTACAAGGGAAGCGTTAGGCAGCTCGCCGATAGAGTTACAAAGTCCCATGATATGTTAAAGGATGTGTGTGTTTACTTTGATTTTATGTTTCATTTTACCTATTTCTCCTGTTACATTTTTTTTCTTCTTGTTGTCTATTTATTAACCTTGGGTTTATTTCCCTTCTACCTTTCATTTTTCTTTAACTTTTTGCACACAATGTTGCATAAATCGTGGGTTTTCAATAAAATAAACGTACTATTTTTTACGCAAAGACAAGTTTGCATACATTTCATCTCTAGACCTGAAATTTAAACGAGATGTAATGAATTTGTTTGATTTTGTTTGGTTATAATAATAGTATTTAAATAAGAAAAGTAATGTTAATAATTATTTATATTATATTATAATAAAATAAAATATAATAATNATAATAATAATAATAATAATAATAATAATAATAATAATAATAATAATAATAATAATAATAATAATAATAATAATAATAATAATAATAATAAATTAAAAAGGTAATAGAGGGGGAGCGGTTATGACCCTATATTAGTCATTCCAAACTTGTTTCAAAAAATACATTCCCTTTCATTCTAAGATAATGGCAACTTCCATTGTTTCTCTCTCAAATCCAATCTTCATTCTAATAATCACAGCTCTATTTCTTCTTCTTTCAGTCTACATCTACAATCAGCCACAAAAAAAAGGGAAGACCACCAAGAAGTATCATCCGGTTGGTGGGACTAAGTTTCATCAGTTTATCCACTTTCGTAGGTTGCATCATTATTGTACTGATCTGGCTAGAAAATACAAAACTTATAGAATATATAGCCCTCATAATAGTGAGATTTATACAACTGATCCTGCAAATGTGGAGTACATCCTCAGGACAAATTTCGACAATTATGGCAAGGTATGTGCCCTAAATGTGTCATGATTTAGGTGTAACCAATTTTGGTTTTAATAGTACACAAATGGAATCATTTCTAACCAACAGTTAAATATATCCTTCATTCCATGTAAAGTATTTTATTAAAGTTTCATATTTTAAGAGATTATTATAGTAGTTACTCCTATTAAATTCTTCTTACAAGTTACTTTGGTGCAAAAATTATATATAGGGATCGTTTATGAACCACACCCTAAAGGATCTACTTGGCGATGGAATATTCACAGTTGATGGTGACGAGTGGAGAGAACAGAGGAAGGTATCGAGCCACGAATTCTCTAAGAAAGTGTTGAGAGATTTTAGCGGTGTAGTCTTCACTGAAAACACTATAAAAGTCGGCAACATTTTGTCAAAAGCATCAAATAGCAACCAAACAGTCGATATAACTGTAGGTTTCTCAATCTTTAATTAATTTTCTTATAATACCTTGTTGATTATTGTCATTAGAGCTAATCATCACACTCCCAATGTGCATACATACAGGACTTGTTTATGAAATCAACAACTGATTCAATATTCAAAGTTGCTTTTGGAATCGATTTTGATAACATTAGTGGCTCAAATGAAAAAGGAGCTAGATTCTGTCGTGCATTTGATGATGCAAATGAATTGGTACTTCGAAGATTTTTTGACTTATCATGGAAGATCCAGAAGTTTTTCAATATTGGGCCCGAAGCAGAGTTAAAGAAAAATATCAAAGTGATTGATGACATCATTTATAAGTTGATTCAGACCAAGATTGAAAAAATGAGAGAGGGAAACGATGATACTTTGGTAAGCTTATATACTCTTTTTGAATAAAAGACATAGACGTATTAAGAGCCTCAGATGTTTTGAAATCCTTGAAACCAATATTTAATTCTTGATGTATTTTTTATTTCTAAATGAAAATTTTCCCGATAGACATATATATGGTTCACACTTTTTTCATTCAAACCAAGAACACATGTAAGACTAATTAAATCTTTCTTTTTTGTGGAATGTCCAGTTGAAGAAACAAGACCTTCTTTCGAGGTTTTTGCAGATCAAGGATATAGATCAAAAGTACGTACGAGATATAGTTGTAACGTTTGTTCTTGCTGGTAAAGATCCTATAGCAACTAGTTTGTATTGGTTCATTTACATGCTCTGCAAACATCCTCAAATTCAAGATAAGGTGGCAAAAGAAATTAAAGAAGCAACCAACATGAGCATGAAAGAATTAGAGATCACAGATGTTGCGGAGTTTGCAACGCGTGTGACCGAGGAAGCCCTTGACAAGATGCAATATCTTCATGCAGCTCTAACAGAAACCATCAGACTCTATCCTGCCTTGTCAATGGTATGCAACCTTAATTCGATCTTCAACACTTGTTTAGTTAAGTTGTTTTGCTTTACTTTCTAAGGACGAACCTTTAGTAATTAGTAGCAGTGCTACTCTCCTAATAAAAATTTCTTAAGAATATGGAGATGATATTATATAATTATACAGGACCCAAAGACATGTTTTTCAGATGATGTTCTACCAGATGGTGGTTTTGTGAAGAAAGGAGAAGTGGTAGTTTACATGCCATATGCAATGGGAAGGATGACATTCATATGGGGTGACGATGCACTTGAGTTTAAACCAGAAAGATGGCTCGATGAGAATGGTGTCTTCCATCCAGCGAGCCCCTTTAAATTTACAGCTTTTCAGGTTCGTATAACGTACCATTAATTTCACAAGGTTCACAATTAGGTACAACTTCCACTGCATGTGGTATAAGTCGTTTTCTATTTTCATTCTTGTAACCCTGTATGTCCGGATTAGTTTGCACCTCGACTTATACAGAGGAGCCCTGAATATAACAGACATGAGACTCTAACTAGATGTTACAGATGATGAATCAATTTATTTATTCCAGTTTTCATTTCCTCCTACATTACAAGACCGAAATAACTAGCTTCTAGTCCAACTAGCTTGTACAAATGATTTTTTTATTTTTCAGGAAGAATAAACATTTTGTGCCGGATGGCTAGAATCCTCTTCTTATATAAGAAAATAGATTTTACCCAATCTCAGTTCTGTAAAAGCCGATCTTTTAGGGTATCTTTTTTTCCTTTCCGGAAATAATGAAATGCATAAGGGGTTGCAAACCATGGGCACAAGCCCCAAAATCCTAGCATTTACAATTTATCTACCGGTTGTAACATGTCCATTTGACGTTTCTTTTCTTTGGCATACATTTTCATAATATTAAACTGTAATCCCTTTTATTTCTCTTTTATATTCACAGGCGGGACCACGAACTTGTATGGGGCGAGATTTCGCGTATAGGCAGATGAAGATATTCTCTTCTATCTTGTTGGGTTGCTTCGCGTTCAAGTTGAGTGATGAAAGCAAAATCCCACATTACAGAACCATGATTAATCTTCAGATGGATGGTCCACTGCATATTTCTGTTTCCAAAAGATACGGTATATATACACAATTGTCCTTAAACTCAAAATATATGTTTGCATATATCATAACATTTGCTCTAATATGTATTTAGTAAATTAACAAAGGTATTGTTGTTACTCATATAACATTACTTTACATATGGGATCTCAACTAATCATATCCAAGTAGCATATATTAAGTGTCTATGTACGATATGTATAACATTTACATAACTCTTCTTTTCATGCTACATATGTTTTGACAAGCTCGTATGTTATGTTCATTTGTCGTCATGTTTATGAAATCCTTAATTTCATTGCACAACTATCTACGAATTGATGTTAACCGTCTAAAACCATAAACTCAATGAACTTTAAGTTGATGCTTAATGTGTGTTACAGGAGCAGACAAATCTGAAAGCAATAACGGTAAAGATCTGATATAAGGGCGTATGTTGGAGATCACCATGTTCTTGACTATGTCATGTTGTGTTGCAATGATTATTTTGTACTACTAGTATTTGAAATTGTGAACCAATGTTTTAAGTTGTTGTGACGTTTTAACTATTCTTCTACGATGTGGTGAAAAGTTTGTAGTGATTAAGTTGTGCCACGAGATATTGCATTGAATCTTGTATTGTATGCTACTAAATTTCATGTAATTTGCATTGTAAACCAACGTTGAAGTTGTTAGATGTTTTAGCAATTTTGTTACGTTATGATGACTGGATTTTATGATTTAAGTTATGACATGCATATCGTCACAACTCTAATAAAAATTGTGGTGTGATATCATGTCACCTAAAACTGATGATGTAGCTTATGCAATTACTAGATTTAATATTGTATTAAGAAATTATTCCTACAACTTCTCATGCATATTTGTATCACATTAGTAGAATAAATAAAGATGTAATATTAATTACTATCATTAGCAAATTTGCACTACTAAAGAGAATGTTTTTTTGAGCAGAAAATTCCGTCGAAAATCCGTCAAGAAGGTATTTTTCGACTAATTTGCCGACCGAAAAAAGATTCGTGGAAAACACAATTTTCGATAGAATTTCTAACGGATTAATTTTTCCCATGCCAGAAATCCGTCATAGATCTTCTTAGAACTTTTTCAATTTTTTTGAATTAGTTAATTAAATTAATAATTACGATTGATTTACCAGCGGATTTTCGACGGATTATCCGCCGATAATTTAATTTAATTTAAAAAATATTTTTTTTTTCTTTATTCTAAGTGGTTATTCTATTTTGTATAATAAAGAACTTGTTATTCTTAACTCTTGGGCTCCGGTACACAAATTCATTATGAACTTGGTGGTTAAACTCTATTACTGTGACGATACTGTAGGGGATGCCCGCAGGACGGATTGACTTTTTTCTGCTAATCAACTTTAAAATGTTTTTATATCTGTAAATCCGATCTATAACTTATATTTAAAATAGAACACGATATGATTTTTACTTGTAAAAGTCTTTATAACTATATGTATTGATTAAAGAATGAAATGCCTTCAATGAAATCGAAGACTTGTTAAAGTGGGTCAAAATCGTCATCAAAAGCGGATTGGTTTGTCATTTAGCAAAAAAAAAAAGATCTATACAAGATAAGTCAAATATTAGTCTGACAAATATTACTACTAGCAAGCTAGATTTTGGAGTGCAAATTTGTCCAGCAAGTTTGACTCACTAACTCCTCATATACTCATCTTGTATGAGAATATGTACAATATGTCAGTCATAGTAAGTTCTAAAACACTATTTTATTAGTGTCATACTTTGTTTACTGTTCTCTCGTCATACAAAAGGATGTGATAGGTTAATACGTGTCTACCTCAACCACAAATGCTGAAATGAAAAGAACAAACATATATGGATCAAGAAAACAAATGAGGACATGCATGAAAGTTGGATAATAACATTTAATGTAATTGTGGCCATAAAAGATCACCCTTGTTAATTAAATGTTACTCATCGTTTTTTAAAGAACTTCTATGTGATAGTTTTTTTAGGTAAAATCAACGTCAACATTTGAAGAACTACCTTATTCCTTGGGATCTGAAAGAGTATTTTCTTCTCTCTCTTTCAATGTTAGCAACTTTGTCACTGTTCAGATTGTTTAAAATCACAGAGTCTTGCCTTACTAGCTTTTTCAACAAATCTATAATTCTTTGTTTTAATACAAAATATTGAATAAAAATTGAAAATTTGTTGTGTTTTTATTCAACTCTCCCCCCTCTACAAATACATCCCTTGTAAGTCATTATTTCCGGGACCAACAAAAACCAATTAAAGACCAATAAAGCAAATAAAATCTTTTAAAGCCCAATAAAATTTGTTAAACTCCAATAAGATCCATTAAAACCCGATAAGACCCTTTATGATCCTTGGTAACTTATTACTTATTTGTATGCATATATATACTACATATATGCATGCATGTGGTGTGTGTTGGGCTCGATAAGACCATTAATACCTTAATATAGCCTATTAAGAACCACTAAAGCTTATCAATCGAAATAAAATTTTATTTTTTTAAGAATCATTGGCGGATTCGTGGCGGAAGTCAACGACAGTTGCCTTTTTTTAATCAGTCGGAAATCCACTATTCATTTCCTGACCGCAAGTCCGTCAGAAAAATCCGCCACTGATTACTTTAGAATTGTACTACGTACCTCCGTTGTAGAATGATTTTCCATAAAGAAATTTTCAATTTAGGAATGTATAATTATTACACTTTTTATTTAACTAAAAGACATTTTTATACTTAATAACCGAGAAAATTTCTCCATCACATAATTAATTTAGAATAAAATGGAAAAAATAAACCATTGCTTTTAAAAGTTAACATTAATTTTACGATAAATTGAAATAGATGGTGAATATTTATTTTGGAATGAAAGAATTAATACTTTTAATAAATACATAAAAAAATAAAATAGTATATACTAAAAAAGCAAAATTTTATAAATAGTAAAAGTAACAATAGTATATAATAATAATAATTATTATTAAATAATATTACTAAATAACAATAAAGGTTTGAGAGGAATTATATATTTGCATGTGCAAAGTCGAATATTGCGTGAAGAAGTATTTTAAAAAAAAATTGAGCCATCGAAAAAGTGAAGCTTTTCAATATATGTATATGCAAACTCACCATGTTGTATACATCCATTAAAAGTTCATTAAAAAAGTTAATTTAGAAAGTATTTTGGTCTTTTTATATTTTTCTTCTTTAAAAGATAATATATATCATATACGGTTGGGTCAGTTACAATAAAAGTTACGATGAGAAGGTGAGAACAAAACTTTCATATACATTCAGTTACCTTAAATGTATGTAAAAGTTCATGAAAGCGACTTTAAACTGAAGATAAAGGTAAATGAATGTAGTTGAAGATAATTGAAGGTAGATGGATGTAATTGAAGGTAAATGAACGTAATTGAAGGTATGAAAATATTTGAAAAGATTAAGTTATATTAAATAGTCAACTCGTTTAAAGGCTCAAAAGTTTCTCATCATAACTCTCATTCTCACACAATCCTTCATATCTATATTAATACACACACACACCCACCTGTATATACATACATGAGGGAGACAAATGAAGTTTGGACTGTTTGCAACTAACATGCAACCATCTATCAGTTACTTAACCTTACCTCCCTTGTCCCACGTGACCCCCCGTCAACCCCAGTCATTTCCCTCTCATTTCACCTCTAAGATATCTTCGTCTTCCTTGTCTCCAGCACATGGCCTCTAACCATAATCCCTTCCCATGTGGCCACTATCTCCTTCCCGCACCATGACCCCCTGATGCGGCTTTGGTGTGGAGGACTGGGCCTTGCTGTTCCTGGAGGCTTATGACCGGCCAATGGACGGCGTCACGATTAAGTGCATATAACTTTTGTTTGATTCTCAGTTTTAGGCCTACAATACACCAATATGATGCTTAGAGCGGTATGTAGTTTAAACATGTTTTGGGACAACGTGTTCTGTTTGCTATTTTCTCATTTTATATTTTGGTTTTTATGGTTGGCCCATCAAGTATTTCAAGCCCATTTCCTTTTGGACTCCTTATTTATATGTTGAATGTGTAATCACGATGGTCAATTGTTAAATATAGAAACTTCCATTTTCCATTTAAATTTTGAGTTCGTTGTGAATTTGAGTTTGAGTCTAATGTTGGGCATTTGTTGAATCAACGAACGTTAGAAGAGATTATTCATGGGTATTCTGAGAATCAACAAGTTTAGTCTTTGTTTTTATTTTCATGTGTTGTATCACCCCCTTCCCTTCTGTAACATTCAAATCCCAAAGCAACAAGCTGATCTAATAACTTCAAATCCAATTTCTAACCATGTTGGAAGTTATTAAGCCAGCCTGTTGCTTTGGGCTTTGAGTTGTTACAAATGGTATTAGAGCCGATCTTTGTACCATCGGGATAGTGGGGGTAAATCTCATCACGTATGATGAGTCCTCGAGGAGGTGTTTGTAACATCTTAGACGAATCCCACATCGTTGGTTACAAGGAGGAGGATTTTGGACAGGCCTGATGAGGACGTCAGAGTTTCTTGTTTGGGAATTTCCTTCCGTTCAAATTATAAAAAAATAGGGAGTACTGAACAAGCGAGTCATCGGTCCGGGGAAAGAAAAGGACTGCCTTTGAAAAAAGAAAAAAGGAACTCTTACCATTGCCGCCTATAGATATAGATGGGAGGTAGGTGAGGCCAGACAACGGCTTTTATAACGCTTTCTCAATGAGAGAGATCAAAGTTTAAGTGGGGTAGTTTGTAACAACTCATCCCACAAGATAGAAAAGGAGATTTGTGAGCTCCTTATAAGCCTCAATTTTTGAGCTACCAATAACTTCCACTATGGTTATAAGTTGGATTTGAAGTTATTAGACCAGTCTTTTGCTTTGAGCCTTGGGATGTTACACCTTCTCACATGAAAACCATCACCGTTGGAATTGTATGTCATTTTAATCAACTAAACAAAATTAGGAGAAAGTTTATGTGCAATAATGTCAATGTGTAAACATCAACCTATAAACATTTGTCGGTTAAAATACATGAATATTCATACCACTAAACAAACGTCCAATTAATCCAAACATTTTTCCCTATCACTTCACTTTTTTTCGAACCACTAATCATTTTTCTTTTTAACCATACACACGCCACTTGACGATGTGTGTGTAATTTTATGAGATGCATTTGCTTATTTGTTTTACTTGATGCACTGATGATGTATATATGTGGGTATGTTTTTAACATTTGGAGGAGGCTAGAGATGGAGGTCGGTGAAGGGGGAGCGGGAAGGAATGTTTCCTTGGTTTTGTGTGTGTGTATATATATATATATATATATATATATATATATAGAGAGAGAGAGAGAGAGAGAGAGAGAGATTGATTCAAATGTTAACCCAAACTATTGTGTTAACCTTGTTAACCATTTTCTACTAATCACAATCCATCTTAGTATTAGGTTCCTATCCATATTAGAAGTTAATGACAAAGATACATAGGTAATTTTTCTTTTTTATGTAACTCCTATATCATTAATTGAGAGTTACAAAATCATAAAATCTCATGATTTGTGTTAACTTATTATTAATCTTGTTATGTTTTTTTTTTCAAGATTGATTTTCTATCATTAATGTGTATGAATTTGTGATTGGTGGAGGAGACCCGGTAGTAAAATTTTCGGTATCGTTCAAAT